ATCTGACCAATAGAAACAAAAAGAAATATTTCAATTATTTGATCAAAATTTGCTAAAATTTAATAAAAGATTTTGCATTATTAAATCAGCAATGACAGGAAAATTCAAACATTATATTAAATTGATCGAATTATAGAAGGGATAGGAATGAATGATGGAATAAATTTCTCTCTCATCCAAAATAATCACAAATTTAATAGCTTAGATCATCTGACAATTGAGGAAAAGATTTGTGGAATACATCCTTCATACTTTGACATTTATGCTAACAACTTTCTCAGGCAGTGTTGTAATTTTGTTATTAATAAAACAGCTTCGATCGTTTAATAACCTTTAAATTATTCAGTTATCGCTTATTCATCAAACAATTAAATGTTTGATTGTCATCGAATGATTTATTCAATCAATAGTTTCTAGTTCTTTGATCACATTTTTAAAACCATAATATTATAAGGAAAGAAAAGAAAAAAGAAACAGCGATATTATCATTTTAATTTTGATATACACAAATAAGTGAATCAAGCGATGGTTAAATAAGCCTATCCCTGCTTAACTAATTGTTTAAATCATGCAGTTTGAGATAATTACAAATTATTCGGCTCATTTTAATGGAATTTGTCATAGTGAATGATTGATGAGACACTGAAAAAAGGGAAAAAAAAGATGAACCACCCTAACTAATTTAAATTTTTTGTCCTTAACTTCTGAAACGAACTGTCTTAAATGATTTAAATTTTTGTTTCTAACTTCCGGGCTGTTACATGATCTTATTTAATAATTATTATGCTTGATTTGGTTCTTTAATCCCATTCTTTTTTTTTTCGATTATGAATTGATGTCCTTCAAAGGATTTAATTCTTGCTTTTGACAAATGCAAATAAAGTATGGTAAAAATTATAAACTGTAGATTTCTTTGCTTTCTTATCTGATCATTTTTAGAAATGGAATAAATTAACAAAAGATAAATGAATAATCTTATCAGTCTAATGAAATGTTAAAGTTAGGAATGAAAGAATATGCTGGGAACATTAATGGGTCAAAGTTTAAAGGTTAACATTGTATTGAATGTCATCTATTAGCTCAACTTTCTTTCTACTTCATCTTTTATAGTTTGTGTGAAAAAAAAAAAAGAAAAAGACGAAAAGATTGATGCAAATATTAGAGAGAGTATAAATATGGAAGAATATTATATTAAAACATTGTCGGTTACGAGATTCATTTTTCTTGATGGATTTATTGGATAATCCCTGCTTTCACTACCCAGTAGTTTAATCTGGCGCCGGTAACATCATATGCATGCATGCTTCTGTTATATTTGTCAACAATTGTAATGCTTCTCAACTTCATCATTGTTTTTCTTAGAAGGGGAAGGTGTAAAATAAACAATATGATTTAGATTATATTCACAATATTTCCATCATAATCATTTGATTGCTACCATCTTAGTTTTAAAAGAAATAATTAAAGTACTCAGTATTTTCAAGGAAGAAAAAAAAATTGATGATAACGAAAGTAAGAAGAATAATTGTTGATAATAGATGGACTTGTGATACATTGATATTTATCAGTTATCAACAAGTACTACTTTAGGCTGACCAATACGCTGAAATATTTGACTGTTGGTGTTAAACGACAAATGATATCAGCTAAGATAAAATATTTCCTAATCGATAAGTTTTTGAAGTTTTTCTTTATTATGAAATATTTGAAAGTGGAAGTTAATTAATTAGATGATTAGGTGATAAATGAAAAGTTTCATATTAAAATAGATAAATGATAAGTGACAATCAATTGTAGAAATATTTTCTTGGTGAATTTGAGATCTTTAATTTTATAGTATTAAAAATACTTAAAGCAGTTATTTCATTATATAATCCTTTCTTATCATCAATTACCCACTTGAAAAGTTTTCCTTTTTTTTGTTTTAAATGAATTTTTAAAAATTAGGAATCTGATATTTTGGAAGATAGAAAAATCATTTGTTACATAATTATTCTAATTGCTTACCAATATAAACGGATTAAAATATTTGGAAGAACTTGTTCAATAATTCAAAAGGTAATAAAAGAGAAAAAATTTAAACAGTAAGTAAATAAAGCAATAGTAAAACTTATATGATGCAAAGAAAAAAATGAATATTAATCGATACGCAAATAAGTGAGGCATAGGAAAAAAATCACATAAGGTTAAATGCAAAAATGTTATTCTTGCAATTTGCAAGTTATAATTTCATGGGAATGTGCACTTGGAACAAATTCAATTATTTTCTTACTGTGGAAATGTCACATTTCCCTTTTTTGTTAAATTCCAAATTTAACAATTTAAAAACTATTTGAAGTTTAACTTGCACTTGTGCATAAATTGTACTATACATAACGACGTTTAAAATCTATTCATCATTGTGAAAATTCAAAAAAAAAAACAAAAACAAAAATTCTCTGTAATACTTCAAGTCATATTATTATATTGTTTTCATATATAAAATATGATTTTACATTTTTTTTTTCACTTCCACACTGATCTCTTAATTAATTTGCTGAGCTAATTTGCGAACAACTTGAACTAATTGATTTGCCTTAAATCTATTCCAACAAGCATGATAGGAATTTAATCCGAATCAAATTTTTTTGAATTGCTAGTCGATGACACTATTGTGAGAAGTAAAATGAAATAATGGATTATTAAAGGGTAAGTAAAATTCAGCAAATTACTACAAACTGTCACATAAAATACTATTTATTATTATTATTAAAACTATTATTTTACACCAGTTAGAAATTAAATTAGGCACATGACTTTATTTTTTCACATATCATTCAACATCATTTCCTTATTTCCTTACCCTATTTTTACCCTTAAACTTATCTTCCATTTTCATTAAATCATTGTTATCAAAGAAATATTTTAATTCATAAATTAAAATTGTTTATCATCCAGTCACTGTGAAGCAGAACATTTTTTGGAATTACAGTTATGGTCACTACTGGTACTTCCATTATTACTTTTGTCGGTGAGTTCACAGAGTGTGTGAGGTCTCATTACATTCTCAAGAAATATTTTCCCATGAATGAATCTTCCGAACGATGCGACATCTCGTCGCCTAATAATGACCCTTCTATGAAGTGCTATATTTAACGGTATGTGTAAGTAGTCGAAAATAATTATTTCTACTCAGTCATTTTAACTAAGAAATTTTCGAATTTCTAAATTTTGATTTGAAATATCACATCAGTTGAATTCTGCATAATGTAAGATCTAAAGTGAACATTTAATTTTAAATCATTTAACTTGAAAGTTGGAAATTGGAAAAATATTCACCCAACGATTTGATTGTTGAGAATACAACAATCAAAATGTAAACAATAACAATCAAGTTTTAAAAATGATAAAAATTTTAGCTGTAGCAAAAAAAATGAAAATCAAAACTGCAGTAGACTGTTATATATTTCATAATATTTTTTATCTATATCTCCAACTTCAATGGAATTAATTGATTTAATTCCAAACATTTACTTCAAAGTGCTCCTACATATCAGTAATTCTGTAATTCCTTAAAAACCAAAAGTAAACAAAAGGTTTAAGTGAAACTATACAAAATTGAACCTTTTGATTTTTAAAATCCAGTCAAATAGCTCTCTGTAACAAATTTCTTGGACGAAACATACAATTACTCAAATGTAACACTCACATTTCTTTAGATTTGCTTCAAAAGAGTCGATTTTTTGTATGGTTAATCTCCAGTGAAGAATGAAAAAGGATTTGTAACTCTGAAGTAAACCGTACTGCGGAATCGAAATGGCATTTAAAATAATCAGTAGAAGTGGTATAGTATATTAAACAAAAAATTTTTAAATAACTGAAATGAACTTGTAAAAAAATTGACAAACAAAAAATTGAAATTCCTCACAGTAATAACAATTAAATGTTTCTCCTTGTTGCGTCCTTCTCTCTCTTCCTCTCTCTCTCTCTCCCTCTTTCTTCCTTCTTCAATGAAGTTATTGCCCTTTATCCCACGAAAATTAACACATTCCTATACTTATTGTTGTCTTCCTTCTATAAAAACGATAAAATGTATTCACATGTGAATTGTAATTATAATTATTGGGGTCATAGTTCACCTGACACTTTCTTATAAATTTATGCGAACAATAATTAAGATTAGATGTTACATTTCCATGGATCATCGTTTATTGCTCATTTTTCTTTTCGGAACATATCTTTCTTTTCTTGTGATATTTCCTAATAACAAAATGATTCAATTGAAAGAACCAAAAAGGTAATTCTGATATGTGATAATGAAAGTACAAAACAGAATAGAACCAATAACCGGGACTTTTTGAAATTAAATTAATCCCATTAATTGATGATATTTAACACAGCACAGCTTACCCAGTCGTGTCGTAATATATCGGCATTGTTAAATAAGAACCACCCAGTGGAAACTTACAACTTTTAAAACTATTCAACCCCACTTAATACACATCATCTTTATTTGCATCGCTTCTATCCTTGGCTTGTGATTTCAAATCCGTTCGGTTGTATTCTTGCCTTCTACTGGGCACATGCTAAAACATCAACTGTAACAAGGTCTCTAAGACCACACCCGAACCAATTCTGGACACTGTAACCCAACCAACACTAACACATGCTTTCATCTTGATCAAAATGTAGAAATTAGTTGAGAGAACTACGAGATTTCCTAGCCAAATTCCAAACTCTGTGTCCCATCTCGAAGAGCAGTAGCCGCGGTTTCTTACCCATACAATAGTGTGAACCCCAAGTTATCAAACTGAAACTATCAGATCCGCATTATCTTTACCAGCTTTCATTTTCATCACCTACCTCGAAATAATTTAAAATGATCTCACAGTTACAATCCAATAATGGTGTATATTTTTTTGTTTTTGTCAACAAACAAAACTTAACATTTATATAGCGAACAACAATCTTATAATTCTTAAAGATGTACGATGACATCAACAAAATGACTTGTGAATTAATTATTGTGCTTCCTGTTGTGCTTTCAGCATCTTAAGATATGCTTTCTTATTTTTAACGCGATTCTTGCGTACTGCCAATGATCCCTTCTTCGCCGTCCAACGTTTCTTTGTCACCTGAAAATATTAACTGAAATTAATAATCAAAGTAAAGAAATACTACATACACCATGAAGCACCTTAGAAACAATATCGCAACAATCTCCGAAGTTCATATAATATATGATGAAGAGCGAAAAAGCAAAAAATGACCTCTTTTGGCTCTTTAGGTTCTCTCGCTGGATTCTTACGAATAGCCTCATGTGCCTTTTTATACATATCCACAATCTGCAAGTACACAATCTATTGCATATTAACACCAGGTAAAAAGCCAAACATTAGTGTTGGTTACAGGAATTATTCAATATCTATAGTTTAGGTAAAAAAGTTGTCAGCAATAAAAAATAAAAAAAGTAAAAAGCTTACGTCATCTGCACTAATGTTGGCAGCAATAAAACGCGAAAAATGTTGCTTATATGCATCTTCATCTTGTTCCTTCAATAGTGCCATATAATCGGCAACATGTTTTCCAAGTATTCTATCACGATGTGCTTCAGCATTGTATTTGGTTTCCGAATTATAACCAAAGAAACGCGTTTCACTGAAAAAACACCGTATCACTTTTAAATCAACTTTTAATCATAATCTAATCTAAATAACATAGAATGACTGGCTACCAAACGACGAATTATCATGGAAGAATTGCTCCAAAACGTGGAATCAATATATATATCAAAAAGGACCATTATGAGATGATACACACCTATGTGGAACATCGATACCACCATCGGCAACACCCTTCATGACCGCGAAAACCTTAGCGCCTGTAACAGTGCGCGCTAACCCAACATCGAGAACAGCTCGGAAAGGTGCTCGTTCGCCTTCCTTTTCAACATTATAATCGTCACCAGTCGCTTCTTCCACACCTTTGTATGCTTCTGCTAGACCGATGTTGAGCAAATGACGTCGGGCCAACAATAAACCAGTGGCATAAGCTGATGCATAGTTGGTCAAGCCTACCTAAAAACGACAAATTTGTCTTCATTCTTTTACATCCATCATATAGTCCGAAAATTATTAAAGCTGTATCCTGTCTCGAAAGTTTAACCATCCTCACTAACTATATGTAACGCAAACGCTACATTACAAATCGCAGCATGAATACTATATAATGTTCTTGTTTTTGAGAAATCATGCAATTCATGCTAAACTTGAACTATAAAAATCAATCTAAATCAACAAGTACGCCGCTGAATTAACATAAATACTATCCAGTTACAAATTTTATAAATAATGATTGACCACAAACAAAGCAAAGATAACCTTAATCCCATAACGCGGTAACTCATGTGAGTATGCAGAACATACGACTACATCACCCTCAATTCGAGAATATGCGATCTAGAATTTAAATTGATGCTGTTGATGCACAACACTATAGTAAAATGATCTAGCTCTAAATAATACTAAAGAGAATTTTTACAGTGCAAATACTATCCAGGAATATGTAACATAAAATTCCGAGCATGTATAATAATATTCCGTACCTACAATGATAAGACAGCGTTTACTCAAACATTACACATCTTCATTACAGAAATGATGAAAAAGAAATAGATTATGGAATCATATGCATCTGATTTCATCCCTTGGCTTCCACAGTTGTGGATTACCTCAATACAACTAGATCAACTTAGAATAAAGCAACTTGACTTACTTGAGCGATAACATCTCTGTTGGTGAAACGCACAATAAGACGATATTTTGGAGTGTTATATTTATTCTTGTCTTGCACAGTCAAACGTTTCCTCGCATAGTAATCCGTTTTACCCTCACGTCTACGCTTCAATTTCACCTGGTAACGTTTGAAATAGGCCTTGTTCTTGACTACCTTCACGAATCCCATCCTACACTCTAAAGTTGAAAAATTTTAACAATCCAATCTGAATGTTACGTATTTTTTATAATTTAATGTAATACTAAATACAAGAAACTCGCAATGCATCATGTACGCTTCACATACAGGACAGAACATACGCACTAAGTCAAAATATCGCTTTAACACTTCCCATTGAACCAGCGCACTTCGAACGTAAGACAAGTCTCGAACGTAACCCTTCTTCAACCTAAACAGTGCCACACACTCACGACCAGCGCATTAGTAGATCAACACGAACCAATCGAACCGGTCTTTAGGCTTCTGCATAACGCGGACGGTATGAAAAAGTTATGGACCAGGGCGGATTTATTTATGCTGTAGCTGTTTTACTTAGTTTTATTAAGAAAATGGTAAGGCTGTCTAGAAATTCTGAGAGTAGAATGTCCAGAAATTTTTGAAGATTTCTGGAATAGGGTTGACTAAAGATTGTTTGTCTTCGAATTTTGATGTCATTGAAAAATAACTTGAGATCGATTCAATTAAACATGTGAAATAAATTTGAACTTTTTGCATTAATCGTTTTTTTTTTTTTTTTTTTTTTTTTTGACTTCTGCTTGACGTTATCCACAGGAGATGTACATATTTTATTCTTTCATAATATAACCGTCGCTCCGATGTTTAAGAGTAGAGAGACGAGAACATGAAACGGTAGGAGTCCAGATGGGTTTATTAGAACTTTCTGAAATTGTTGCCTTATCCTGATCGGAATAGAGGATTCAGGGAGCATCTGTATAGATTCGAAAGAAGAATGTTTATATACAATATATAATTAAGATTCTAAAATTTGCTGCAGTTATAACCATATCTCAGAGTGACCTGAGAACTGATTGAATTCGTATTTATTTGCTGCTTACCAGAGAAATTTACAATCATTCGAAGCTGTGTATCTGTGTGCGGTCTGTTACATCATTAGTTTTTGTGTTGCCGCTATTTTTATCCTTTCCATCTCGGATATATTTCCATTCTATTGAATTCTCACTTTTTTGGAAAAATAGTTGCTTAAGTTTAGCCGCAGAATCAGTTGACTGAAATTTAGCAGTGCTGTCAGGAAGATCGATACATAATAGGAGACGTGTTCATAGTCGATGTATCGTAGCAATAATTTCAGCAATCGCTGCAGTTATCATCGTTAGTTCTTTTCATGATTTCTGTGGGAGAGGTAGGCGGAAATTAGAATATTCCATTTATTCCACTGAAAGTCCGATTTCGGTTCTTCTACAGATGATTTTAGTAATATCTTGATTGCTGATTTTCTTAATAAAAAGGATTCGAAATTTTTGCTTTTTTTTTGTTCTCTTTTTGTTTCTTAGAAAGGAAGAGATGAAATTATTTGTTTGAATATGTTGAAGTTCTGGTTATGTATTTTGTATTGTAGCGTACCCTTGCAAGAAGCTGAGGACATCATTTTCCAGATCAGGAACATTCGCAGTGTAATGTTGGACCTAGACGATCGGCACTTAATGCTACTGGTGGTACTTCGTTGGGTCTGAATCGCAGGCATTTCGCTCAACGGAATCATGCTTGGTCAAGTAAGTTATTTGAGCTTAAATATCGTCAAAATTGGTACAGAAAAGACAAAAAGCAATAATTACTGATGTATTTTCCGAGAAAAATTGGATAATATAATTTCAGTTCCGGAATTGGTGAGGGAAACAGGATTAATTCTGGAAGTACAAAGAGATTATGGTCGTATCCTTAGTCAATCTAATTTTTCCACACCAAATGTTCATATTTATTTTTCGCTCTCTACTCTGGTTAATGATGCACCGCTGAGTGTAATCACCGATAATCTTGCAGATGTTTTTCAAGCTGGAGCAGTGGTATGCTTTTTTTTTCATTCTCATATTGCACTTGTCAAATTTTTTGTACCACGATTGTATTCCTCAAGTGATTGCCTTATTTAATACATGCCTGAGGTCAGCATACGTAAATATAATTTACCTGATGCACATGTAATAATTTATTATTAAAACTATTGGGGAAATATTTTTTAATATTTAATGATGTTTACGGTTGGCTTTACTGTTAGATTGTCATTAAATCGATGTCAGGTTTATTGATACAAAGGGGGATTTCAGGTGGAAATCGAAGTAGAGGGAGGTGTTAATCTAAAAGAGCTAAAACATAACATTCACGTGATATTGACATGTACCTCTATAAGGCCAAGTACGGAGGCTGGTCATAAGCGTACGTTTGAATTTTGATTTTTTAGACGAGCAGTACTATTGGTGAATTTTTTACTTAACTCATTGTATGTTTTTTAGCGGAACTGGTACCAATGGTAGTAATACAAGATGATTGCGAAATACCACTTGCTCTGATAACTAATCACGAGCTAGTTGCACTCCCTCGGCAGGTCTTCCCAGTAGAAGAGGTTACTTCAGCATTTATGGCAAAGAAGAACTCAGTTATCACAGATGTAAGTTTTTTTCAACATTTTATGACCTGCTTAACTTCTGAATTACCTCTACAAATTCCAAATTCCACAAAGAATTTTAATATATGAAGTTCGAAAAAAACTCAGCAATGTTAAAACATGACAAAAAATATGCCCAGAAGCGTAAAATATCCCAGATTTTGACATTTTAAAACATTCTTAGGTAGAGTTGCCAGAATTTGCAACTATTGGACGTTCCGTAGAAGGAAGAATCTTGAGTGCACCACCGTGGATCCGTGAATTTACAAATCCTTCAGTCAAAAAGATTGCACTGAGTGTGCAACGCTTTGGGCGGGATCGAGAAGGTTTTGCAGTGATAAAGGAGGTTCTTGTTTCTTTTAGCATCTCAATATTTAGTTGATTACATTTAGATTTCATTCCTTTTCTGTAATAGTTATGAAAATTTTGCAGTATATCGGACGAGGTGTTATCCTTACGCCAGTCGACGAAGACGATAAGCAAATATGTGGTGATATGTTTTACCCCTATGAAATGCGAGTCAATTCGTCGTCATATACGGTGACAGGATGTGAGGTAGAAGTTTGATTCTGTAATATTTTAAGAAAAATGTGTCTTCAGTCTGATCATATGATGAATCACTGTCGAGGTGTCGATCTAATGTATAATAATAATTTGAGATGATATATTTATTTTACATCATTGTGTTCTTCCATTGTATTCAGAAACTTTAACTGTACATAAGTGAAAAAAAAGTGGAGTTTTCTAAGAGAAATATTGCTAATTAATTAGTGGCATTTATCGTCCATATACATTTAGAAAAATATCTGTACACATTCAGGATGTGTATCGCTTAGGCTCAAAATGGTATTTTCGTGCATGTCCAGAATTACCGAATCGTAAATACAAGTATCGAGTGTATAGTCTCAATAGTTTGGATGCCATCGTCAGTGGTGATTTAATAGCGCAGGAGCAGCTTTCTGATCATACTGTAAATATTTTCTCTTTAATAAATTACTTTTTTTTAATTATTTTCTCTTTAATCGATAATTAGATTTGCTTATTTTATTGCTTCATAAGCGTTTTTAATGGAACGAATTAAATAATATTGTTTATATATTTACATTCAGTAAGTAATATTCAGAGAAGGAGAAAAGAAATTTTATTTAAATTGCAAAGTATTAAGGTTATAAAGACTCAAGGCTCTGTTACTATTGATGTCTCGACCAGTGCCTTGGAAGTGAACGCATCTACTAATGACCAACTAGACAACTCAAACCAACTTATTGAATTCGATGATAAACCTTTAACGGTACGTTTAATTGAATACGACAACAGTTCTCGGATCAATATTTGGACTCTAATAATCGGTAGGAAATTTTCATGACCATTAAAATGGGGAAAGAAGAGAGAAGAAAATGAAGATGAAAAAGACAAAAAGATTGTTGCTAATGCTGCATATGTGTAAGAGTGGTATCTATTTATGTTCTAAGCGTAAAGAAAAAATGTATGAGTTAGTAAACTATCCTTGGATAACTGCACTCATATTGCGTCAATTTCAAAACTGAAAGTTATTCAGTAGTTCAGGTATCCTCACCAAATGCTTTTCCAAAACCCACAGCAGTCTCGCCGGTTACTCTAAACCTACTCAGTGCTGTTAATTTCGATACATCTCGTGCGGCAACAGCAAGTGGTATCAATGAGACAATGATTTTACAAAATCCAAATCCTCCCGATGTGACTGATCGCAATTTATTGGTTGATTTCAATGCTGCTAATGAAGTACAACAAGTCGCAACGGAAGTTCGACACTTTCATATATTAGATGAAGATTTTACCCTCTCTTCATTAAATTTTGATTTTAAAGAGGCGAAGAGCAAAGCAGAAATGTTTGGCTATAGTAATTACCAAGATAATAAAGACGTATGGTAAGTTTGTTTTTCTCTCAGCTTCATTTAGCATGTGGTTGTCTTTTGACCTGATATATGAGGATATTTAGGTAGACCTTAGTACCTCCTGTTTCACTGAAAGCATAACTATCGGATATCTTTTTTCATTCGATTGTAAGTTATCGAGCAGTGCGAAGTATTTGAACATTTTTTGAGAGTGTCTTCGCTTGCTGCATCCGTAACATTTAGGACATAGTTCAGCAGCAACTAATTTATATTGCTTAAGCATGGCATCACTAGACAAAGGGTCAAGAAATGTTGATTTGAATCATATTAATGGATTTAAAACTACAAAAGGTTGGTTTCTTAATCTGGTCCATATTCAGTTTTATGATAGAGTTCTAATATCGTCGTTAATTTTTTAACATCATCTTTTTTTTTCCTTTAGCTTTATCTGACTATTGCTTTAAAATTTTCAAATAAGTACTTCCATATTATCTGAAGTTTAAGTCTAAGAACTCTTCCATCTTCAGAACAATCAGCGAAAGTGGAAAGTAGCGATTGTTCAGTAGAACTTACATCATGTAAACCCAAAAATTGTGTGGAAAATTGCTCAGTCCTATGTAATGGAAATTCTGTAGTTGAACAGTTGGTTGATATTAGCAATGACTCATTAATTGTTGATCAAGAGACAGATACTAGCGATGATGATTCTGAGAATGAAATGTTCCATGCAGTGTCTGTGAAAAGAGAAAGTGATGATGGGGTTGGTGTTTCATCTTGAGTTTGACATTTTTTAGTGAGTTTGAAAAAAGTAAAATTTAGTTGAGAAACTAAGATACTGAGTAAAAAACTATCAATTTTAAATTACAATTTAGATAAGTGCTGGTGAATGAGGATTTTGTCTTGAGAAGTGATGCAGTTATTTGTTTCGCGAAGTTTTCATTGTTCCAAGACAGTTAAATTCGTATGTAAATTTCTCTATATTTTAGTGGTGGTTCACTCGCAGGATCTCAAGTAGAATAGATTCAACGGAAGATAGGAAAGCAAATGTTGAGTTAGGGAGGCTGCCGTATTGCAACAGAAATTCTGAAGCAGCAGAGGTTATTAAATGATTCGGTATTTGGGATAGAAGAATTTTCTAGGGAAAACTTAGTCTACTTGCCTGGTAATGCATAACATTTTCTTTTTGCATTGCATTTGCATCACCACTATCAGCGAAATTTGCTATAAAATTTCCAACCTCAACTGTTAGCCAACGGCAAAATTTTAGCTTAACCCAGCACCCAAAGATGATAAACCACCACTATTTCTAACTGAAGATCATGTAAATTGTGAAGCAACTTCCGTGACGATAACACCAGAGTTATCTCTTACAAATACTCTTCAGAACGATGGTGTAAGTTTTTTTTTTTTTTCTTTCCTTCCTTCTTTATTTGCTTTTGTTTTGTTAATGATTTTCACTTTTGGTGGGGCTTATCCGTCCTAATTTTGTTAACTGATGATGATACCATTTCGTGTTGGTTTCTTTCACATTAAAAAGTTACCCGATCATATAACAAAAGCGTCACTTATTAGAAGTCTAACTATTGCGTGACATTTTAACGATGACTGCATAAGATATTTCATTTGCAGAAAAGAGAGAGAAGTGAGATTGAAACCTTGGATCTATTTTTAAGTTTACATGATCTTTCTCAAAAAGTTTATGGAATATTTTAATTTGGATGAAGAAATAGTAGACTGTATTAATTTACGCTGCTTTATTTAATCCAATGGTTGTTATCAGGATAATCTCGTTTTTAGATATATGCCAAGTTTTTTGCTGGACTTCTTTGAAAATGAATGTTAGGATAACAAACGATCTTTCCATATCATTTCTTTCTATTCAAAAATTATATTGATTTCAATTACAAGGAAAATATTGTTGCTTTAACACCACCTATTTTTTGGTGGTGGCACCTTTTCCTTTTTTCTCATGGGATGACGAATAGCTGCATGAAAACTTATGTTCACCAATTTCTCAATAGATATTCGTATTTGTTTTGGTGAAAATTATGAATTGTTACCGGAATTATTTTCTTTGTAATTGTTTTCGTTTGTATTACTGAAATTATTTTTTTAGAATCGTCTGTTAAAATTATTTTCATTTTCACCCTCAAATTTCTAAAGGAATGTCCTGAAAAAATAAATTTGCGTTTGTGATTTTATGGATTTGTTGACTCGAGGATTTGAAATTTATTAGTTACAAATATCAAGATTCAAATTATTCCCTATTAATCTTATGTAAATTTTCATTTTCGAGATGGTCTTTGTTAAGATTAAACTATAATGTGATAATCACTTTTTCTCATCGTTGTATAATCTAGTGGCTGTGTGTTTGCTTCTATCTTTGGTTCTTGAGGTAATATTGTAATTACTTCTAGTGTATTTCTCACTTATTTATTTTCTTTTTTCACAACTTCATTAATCACTCTTGATTACTCGTTTTATAGAAACTAAGGCGGATCTGACTGTCAAACAATAACCATATATCGAGTATTACTGAAATATTTTTAGCTGTGATTTTTTTTTTCTTAGATAAATGTTAGGGGAATCTTATTAAACATAGGCTAGCAATTTTTTGGAAAATTGGGAAAGGGTAAAGTAAGATGTAAGGTAACTTATTAATTATGTTCTACAGGTGTTATATCGTAAATATGGAAGTAGATCCATTCCTCGGTATTAATAGATCATATACCATTTCTCATGATCTTATTCTGCTCTTTATTTATTCAATAATGAAATAGATATCAAACTTTTATTATTTAATTGATTGTTTAAGGGGAAGGATTTTGTATGTAATCTTGTGACACTTGTTCTGTTCAAAACATGAATAAAAGTGTAATGGAAATTGGGAAATTTACCGACATGACAACGATTTATACTTCTAATTTTAATGAATTACTTTGAAAGCACAGAGAAGTGTAGAACTAGCCTGATGAACAAACAAATTTGAGATAATCGTTGATGCAGGAAGATTTGTTGTTTAGAATGTTGCTAGCAGTATATCGAGCATATGAAAGAGCTCTAGTAAAATATCCGTTTTTAACGCAAGCTTCAAGTGCTGGTTAGTTTTCTCATCTCAGATTAAGGTAACATAAAGTTAGAAAATTCAAAGATAAGGAAAGCAAGTTATGATATATGAATAGAAAGAGAAAGGACTAAACATGGTTATGCCCAGAAAAGATTGATTATTGGGAAGTCAGTGGTTATCATTTCACATGTTCTCATAGATACATAATCATCTCAAGAAATAAAACTGATAAAAGGTAATCATGGAAGATTTACTCTCCAGTATGGGTTTTCGAAATGTTGTTTTGTCTCAAACATCTGATAGTTTAGATTTTTTTTATTTGGGATCATTTTTTTACGAGCCCATAGAGAAAGTACAATGATTTTGGTTGGAATAGGAGACTCAACATAGATATTTCGGTTGTATTTTATCACTAAGTCTGAAATATCACCAGCTTTCCTGTCGTTAGCTGTTATCTCAGTCGTCCATCTTCAGTGTTATTTGTATTCTTTTCGACAACTGTTTAGGAGCATTAGCAGCAATGGCTGATATGTTAACTCAAAATTTTGTTGAAAAACGTTGGCAAAAAGGGAACTACAATCCGGCAAGAACAATACGTTTTTCTGCTCTCATTCTTTTCTGGATTGTTAGCTTCTTTTCTTTCTTTCAGAAGACTTCGGGAAGACACTTATTAAATTTTATCAAATAAAATAAAAGCCTATCTTGAATTCATCGAAGTTGAAGGATAAACAAGGATTATGGGGGCTTTAGAAGAAGTAAAAATGATAACATATACGTTATATTTAATAAAAACATAAAAAATTAATTAGTGCATCGAAACTTTTTCTCAAGAAATGGAAAGTAAGAGAGATGTGAGAATGTTATGTAATTCACGTAATTAAGATCGAAATTCTAGTACCGATAAGGACTGATATATCCAATCCAATTGTTATTTGATATTAAAATATATGATATGAGCGTTATCTTGTTTATCTTATATTTTCAAATAATATTTATTTCGATACAGTTTTTTTTAAGGCTCCTATAACTTATCGATGGTTTTTATTACTTGAAAAAGTGAAAGGTAAAGCAAATTTGCTACCGTTGAAACGGATGATTCTTGATCAGGTTTGTTACTTTTGGCGAATATTGATGGTGATAATAATTATGGCGCTGGCAATTGTTACGTCATAACAGTTTGTTTTTGTTAATTAGTTCCAATTCAAAATCAAAAGACATTTTAGCAATATTTTTTGAATATCTTTCTTTTTTTGAACTTGCAATTTAATATTTTAGTCCTTAGCAGCACCGCTATTTACGTTTAGTTTTATCACAAATTTGCATATATTGGAAGGCAATTCTCCACATGATGCATTGGAAAAAGCAAAGAAAGATATTGTTCCAGTTATGAAAACTAATTATAAAGCAGGATTTCTCTTTTTTGTTTGAATTTTTGGAATATTGTTTTAAGAGATGAAATTATTGAATTTAGAAAACTACATGATATGTACTGTCGTAGTATTTGTTCCGTAATTTTGTCATATATTCAATTATTCAGCAGATCAAAATAATTAGTAATATTATTAATCATACTTCTTGACATAGATCATAGATCGAAATTATCTCATCATACTTCTTATTCTATTATTTTCGTATTCAGTGTGCGTAGAAAAGAAAAAGCTAAAGGCTAGTGATAATATATAGGAATAGAGAAAGTGATAAGTTGACATAAGATGCTTTCAAAAAAGATGGAATGAATGGCTGCCATTATTACTATTTTAATTTTATTAGTGATTTGTTGATTATTTACATATCATTCCTAAAAATTTTCGGTTATCATTAAAGGAATTTTTTAATTTATTGTTTAACTGAAAATATTCGTTAGTTGAATATATGTGACACTAGTAACACTAATTACATAAATGTCGAAATGAATGGAGTATTTATTATCCACTTGTTTTTTTTTTTTCAATTTTGTTTTCAAAAAATGCAAGTAATTTCAATTTAGGTCTGGCCACTTGCACAACTCATAAATTTCTATCTGTTACCGCTCCGTTATAGACTTACATTTGTTCAATTAATGGGCCTATTTTGGAATATGTATTTATCACATGTTACTCAAATTGAAGTTAAACAGATAAATGAATCAAAAGAACACTCTAGGAAAGATTAATTTTGTAATCTAAAGATAATTTGGAATAAAATAAAACTGTTCAGCGTTATTCCTTACTATTTTATCGCATTAATTAAATACACTATTGCCTTAATAGCTGCAGTACAGTAAAAGCGTGGCGAATAATAGAAATGGAATTTATTACTGTCCAATAATAAATAAGTGATGGGAAATGTTCCCCAGATGACCACATTCATTCTTATGAAGTAATAATGATTGTGAGCGAAAGTCCCTGAACCTGAGACTGAGAGAACAAAGAAAAAAATTATATTCAAAAAAAATCATATTCTTCGAAATGCAAATCTGAATCATTCTTGTTGCTATTTCAGGATGTATTTCTGGAAATCTATTTATTGAATATTTCTTCTATCATCATTGACCAGAAATTTCAGCATTATTAACGTCTGTCATCTTTTTTTATGACAACTATGCTGTAGGAATTCTAAATGAAATGTAAGCTAATAAAAATTAAAAAATTACCATAAAAATTACTTCTTCCACTCACAAATTTCATCGACTGAAAAGAATTTTACAATTGAGAATGGAGTTGCAATATGTAATGTGACCATATAAATTAATATAAATTATACTTTCCCTTTAAAGCATCAATCACCGAAATATTCTCCTCCTCTTTTCTTTGTTTCTCCTTTTTCTTAATATTAAATATATATATTTTTTAATATTATAATATTGTATTTTAATATTATCCCCATATTATCTATTCTATTCCATATTTATTAGAACAAAGAAGAGCAAACGATTAAATATGATCAATTCATAGAATTTTGTTAAATAAATTTCTGCAAAAATCGCAAACATTTAGTTTAGTGATATATATTTGATTAGACATTTCATATAGTACTTTATTACTAGGACTCACAAAAGTTATTTAAAAATATTACAGTCATGATAAGTGCGGTAATAGTAATAATAATAATAATAATAATAATAATAATTATTATTATTATTATTATTATTATTATTATTATTATTATTATTATTAGATAATAGAGATATATCATATCTAAGTATTTCATGTGGTGCAAACAGCATGAGTTTTTTTGATCTATGATACATCGTCGTTTCTCTCTAAAATTCTTTGATGCACAGTTAAAAATAATAATTTTGACTTCAAGTGTAATTATTCTATAATAAATGTTAGGTAGTTGCATGAAGGTAAAATTTCTCAACATTTGTTGACCTTTTGATGATTAATCAGTCTTACATGATATATTCTTGCTGAAGCTTTCATCTTATGTGAAAAAGTTTTGGATTGCCATTTTTATTTAAAATATAACACATCGATGCATTTAGCATGATACCATGATAACATGTCTTTTTTATTATGATTCGCGTAATTCACACAGCAAAGATCTCTTCGAACTAATAATATGTTCTGATGTTTATATTACTGCTATAAATCTTTTTTTACTATTTTTAAATCTTAACATAAATTTTCTATAAAAAAAAATTGCTACTAGAAATAAAGTGTCTGAATAATCTGTTAGTTACGTTGTAGCATATGCAAAACATATTAGTCGTTGTGTTATTTTATTTCTAATAAATATATTTGCAAAATGGAATTATTTCCGGATACATTTCTTTCCTTCTCGTATAAGTGATTTAATCGAGAGAGAAAAAAGAAAAGAGACGTTACATTTCTTCGATTCACACTTTTTGCACCTTGTGATGGCCATCAATTGATGTATGTCTGTTTCATTTCATCTTTATGTCAAATCTAAATCTATTTCACTCCCATCCGTTGTCATTGTATTGGTCGCCTTGAAATTCTTCTCCTGTCGATGAGTAGTACTATTGAGAATGGATGATTGGTAGTTTTCGGGGCGTAAAAAGGTGGCGAATAAGAGAGAACAAAAAAAGAAAATGGAAAGACTGGAAAAGCATCGATTCTTCAATCATAAACTCTTCTTTGCTTATGCTACCATTATTGTCGTTATTTGTCTATCGCTGATAACTTATTTGTTCTTTCACTAATAACATTAATCTAAAATTCAACCTTTTTTCATTCTTCCATGAAATGAGAATTCAGTTGATCTTTAGTCCTTCTTCTCTTCAAAGATTGTAATAGTTATAGAAATTTTATGGTTGAAATAATCTAATAATCGTGCAGTTTCATTTCTGCTGTTGAAAATTAATTCATTTATAAAATTATTTCCATCATATTTACAGTTGTTATTCATTCAGTCTTTCCTGTATCATTCTTTGATTATATCCCACTGATGTTCCATAATTCTCATTTACGTGTAGGATATATTTTTAAGAAAAGATTTAAAATCGATTTTTTAAAATTCCATTTCTTTCAATGTCCGAAAATTTTGCATATGTAAATTTAGAATTTAGTTTCCTTTTCATTGCTTTAAAAAATGTAACAAATGATACAAAAGACTGATGAATTAGGCAGAAAAATTCTCTGTGTAGTGCTTTTATCTTTTTTATGATACCGAAAAAAAAGCGAAACAGGAATAGAAAGCGATGATGGTAGAAGTGAAAGAAGAGGGAAAAAGATAAACGATGATAGCATAGTGTTAAAAATGGGAAGTGACAAAATCATAAATATTCATACTCTTTTTATATCAATCAATGCAATATGAAATATTTGTTTATTCAATCAAACTTGATTTTTCGAAAATTTATGCATTGAAATTTTCATCTCATAAAAAAAATTAAATCAAAATGTTTGATAGATTTTTTGAATATGTTTACATCTTTTGGAAGAAAACTTTGATTATATTATATTTACTATCAGATAAGCGCTGTTGCAATGTTTTAACTTCTAAGGATAGTTTATCCTAATAATTTGCTTTGATGAAGTGTTTAGATTTGATAATATGTAAGACAGATGTGTTATTTTTTGATATAATTACTTGTTGAAGAACATTCATTAACGTAGTTTTCTCCTAAAATACTCTTACTTTAAAAGTAATTTAAATTTAATGGAGCAAAAAGAATTGCGAATATCCAAACTCAAATACGTCAAGAATAACGAATCAGATGACGTTGCTTGTCCGATTACTTTATCAATATGCTATTTTAACAATACAGTAAAAAAAAATTAGGTTTCTTACTTTATCCCGCCTCTTTAATTAACATTAGTTAATCCATCCAAAAAAAAAACGATGTCTATCTCTTCTGCGATTATTTAAATGCACCGCAACAAAAATTGCATTTATCTCTATATCATTTCAGTTAAAACATCAATTTCATTGGACTAGTTGCCAGCAAAATATTTTCATGCTCTTTGATCGGTTTTTTCCTACTCAAATCTTTACTATTATTTTAAATTAGATTTATTTCTAGTTAAGTAGTACTTATTCATACCTATCTAAATGTGTTCTTATTTTCAATTAGATTTATTCTGGTAAAGTTTGTAACATTTCTTGCTTTCCTTGCTAATTTTGAATGTCTAAAGCATCATCATTTTTATCATTTAGTGCTTCAATTTTTTCCGATAATTGATAGGAAGTAAGAATAGTAATCAAATATTCAATGCAATTCGGTTTGGAAAAATGCTGCCATTACTATTATTACCAGTTAAAAATCTAATTAAAAGTAGTACTTAGCTACCTAACCACTAAAAGTAGTAGCTATTTGTCCACTTAAGAAAAGTACTTATTTGTATACCTGCTTAAAATAAAACCGAGTTCTTCTGTTTGCTTATTATTTTACCGTTTTTCATTCACAAATTTCACTATCAATGGATAAATGGAATTAATCTTTTATTTCAATAATTTCCATTTTTCTATTCTAAATATTCATTCCACTTCATCCATTCTTACTCAAGATTTCACTTGCATTTCGCATAAACTATTTCATGTCCTATTTTTTTTTTTTCATTTAAAAACTTATTGTTTATCAACTTTATTAATCCTAAACAAAATGAAACAACACAAGATCGAATTTTTGGTCTACGAACAGAACTAAAAAAAACCTATTTTTTTGATGGAAGTTAATTAATATAATGGAATAAAAATGGAAGAAAGATTGGGCCTAATAATATATTTTGATATTTCCCGATGCTGTACTGATGCATAAACATTGCTATCTTAGTGATCCGGCTAGGATGCGACACACTTCATTTCCACATCATTAAACTTAGCACCAATCAAAAGAATTGATAAGATCTCCGGTAGAAAAAAACTAATTGCACATACTTTACATACTAACTTTTTTACTGATTATTGGTTTCCATATGATTTCTAGCTGTGAAATGAAATATAACAGACTTATTTACAAACCTCATACTTACCTCATTCAA